ATTTTAAGTTTATCGCTTTGCTGTTGGCATTTCTGCCCTGTCTTCCGAACTGTTTTGCACGGCTGCGACCTGCTTTTCCTTTGCAGCGTCATTAGTTAGTATTTTGTTGTCTTAACAATCCAATTTCTCATGCATATCTGCCACTAACTGACAATTAATCGGCTATTCATGCATTGTAATTGCCGTGCTGCGCCGATATTATTGATGTCAGCACACCCAAACACACACACTCACAGGCATAAATAAGTTTGCATATTTGCACTAACACACATGCGAAAAGAGAGCGAAAAAGCTTAAGTATACATATGTCCCAACTGCTAAAAAAGTTGCTCTACTTCCTGTGCATGGCTAAATTATTGTGGTGCCAATACAATGCAAACAAACACACTCATACACACACACTGACACAGCGACAGGTTGGCTATCGATCGTTGACGTCGTTTAATAACGACTTATCATAACACGGCAACAACAGCGGCGGCGGCGGCGGCAGCGCAGTCAATAATGACCAGAAAATTTAATGCTGATCACCGTGATATGCACACAGGCAGCAACAACACAACAACAACGTCACCAACAGGCATAGACTAATAATAGCAACTTGGCTGTGAACGCTGCTGCAACGAGTTGCTGATCAGCATTCGCTTGATACGCCTCACACACACATACACATACATGTGCGCAAAGGCTTTTGGCTGTGAGTATGTCTGCGACTCCGTCCAAATGTTCAGCCACGTCTACATCCATGTCCACTTAAGAGAACCGGTATAATTATTGTTCGGCTGCAAATGAGAACATGCGAGCGCATTGTTTCGCCACATTTGAGGCATCGCTTCGCTCAAAATCGCAGTTAGAATATGAAATTATCCGCCACAGCTTTGGCTTGGTGTTATTGTTGTGGTCAACTTTATTGCCGCAACTTTCCACTTGTGCCAAATTATTCACTTTAATTACAAGTATTGTTTATTATTATTGCAAAGAAAAAATACTTGAGCTACACCTCATTTGCTCTGCGGAGCACGAATGTTTCAGGAACATTTGGCGCGTATTTGGAGACGGATCCGAAATATGACGATCCGCCACTGTGCTCATCGCGTCTGAGAAAATAAACTCGATAACCTTTTTGGAGTGCAGCATCCTTCTGTTCCGTCCTTACTAAGGCAGTGGTTCATTCGCCCTAGCTTCTGTCGAGAGTATCCTGAGTACTACCCTCTCGAAGTCATATTTTATGTTCCCCCTTGCGGCACTGACCGAGGACACCCTATTTAGAAGTACTAGTGCTTGCCGATATTGCTGAAGGATTTGAATAAGGCAAGATTTCTTCAATTTCAACCGGAGTAGAAAGTTGGAAGCCACTTCGAGAGATCCAATTTAGCCACCGCTTCAAGCCGTGCACCATTCCATACCTCCCCATTCCAGCTACCACCTGCTTATGGACGGCTGCTGGTTATTCGTCGTCACTTTACTTATGCATGTCGAAGTGCTACACGGCTCTCTCGCATCTAGGCGGTGGATCGGGGTTTTCCGTGAGCATGTTCATATAATAGCAGTCGCTACCGGCTTCCACCCTTCAAGGGAGATGGCTGCATCACGCCTGCTGCGGTTGTACACATCAATCCCTATAGAGCTGATAAGATTGGCGATTTCACTAAAGATCGATGCCACACCGACTCGCCACTTTTTGTCGAGGCAGGATTCCCTCTGCCGTTCATTCGAGAACTGAGGTTCATTAGGCTCCGAATTGTCATCGTTCGCGCCGCTTAACACTTTTTTGTTCTAAGAGACAATTTGTGTGAGTTTATTAAATATTTAGACAGTTAGAGGACACACTCTGTACTATACTTAATTCTCTCGTTATTCTTTTCATGATTTGTTTGTTTTGCTTCGGAGTAAAAAAGAAGCTACTACAAAAAAAAGAAAACAAATAAAATAAAAATATATATATAGATATTTACACAAATGTATGTGGACAATGTCACAAAAATGTCATTACAACTACAAGCAGTTGAAAATTATGCTCATGTCAATGGTATTCAGAGTTGTAAGTTGAGGGGTCGCCACTTGTAGAAGAGCAAGCGCAACTCACAACGAAAATTCGAACGAGTTGATACGACAACAACAGCACGCAATTCGGCAACGACATCAACAATGAAATAGAGCCATGTAAGGGAGAAGGACAGAGAAGAAGGGTAATAGTACAGAAAAGATATGCAAGCTCGACCGACCGATCGTCCGACCGACCATCAGCAGTTGCACGTGCTGGTCAGTTGCGGATGGGCGCACAAGCAGCGAACATATGGAGGCCTCCAAGCCAGCAGCAAAGCTCGCGTCGCTGTCTTCAACAACGCCGACGACATTTCCTCGCTGAAACCCACAGCCGACTGCAAGGAATGCAACCGACACAAACGGACGGACATACCGGCATGCATGGAGTGGCCGGGCAGGATAATGCGAAATTATGAGCCGACAGAACGGAAAATGTGCTAAAGAAGAAGAGAGAGTAGAAAGCCGACGAAAGCGAGGAAGAAAGCAGTGCAATAAATTGGGAATAGCGAGGCAAGTACACGACCAACGCAAGCAACTTATCGCAGTGCATAGGCAATGTGGACACATTAACTACTCATGGGGGCACACACACATACGCGATTAACACATATTCATATGTACGTATGTGTGTGTAGGTGGGCAATGCATTTTCCTTGCAAATTTAAAGGTGTTTCCATTGGCGAGCAGAAGAAAAGTGCTGCCACTTATTATTGTTATTGTTTGCACACACTTATGTTATACATTGTATTTGTGTTGAGGTGATATGTGCAAGCATATACATGCGTGTGTGTGTGTGTATGAGCGCCGAAGGCATTCAGTGCATTTAGCATGCAACGAAGTACGTAGATAGACAGCTGGCGCATGCTTGGACAATGTGGCCGTGTAGCCTTCGGTTCATCTAAGCTTGTTGTCGTCAGCTGCTACACACACACCAGCAAATAGCAACAATAACAACAACAGCAATAAGTAGTGCTGCCTGCTGCCTGCTGGCAAGTGGGTAATTTGGTAAATTAAGAATTAGAGACAGCAGCAATGTGTGGGTGTTAAACGAGGGCGGAGAAATACTACTTTTGGTGAGCGGAAGGACTTAATGTTGCCAGCGGTTCGCAGAAATATCGATTTTTGTTTAGAAAGTTTCAAACGCAGGCAAATAAGTAATTAAAGCGATTAATGAATTTAGTAGCGAAGATAATTATCAAATTTAGTTTTTTTGTTCCACGTTGAGGGCTAAAAGTGGCATTTAAGCGGCCGCAGCAGGAAACATTCGTCGTCTTTTCGTATTTTTAATAAAACTACATTTTTTTTTTTTTTTTTGGTATTTATAATGAACCAAATATGTGCCATTTGGCCGACCTCTTTTTGCCATTTTTCCAACAGAGACTTACTTTCACGAGTGTAAAACTTTTCTGGTGTCTCGGCGAAAAACTACGAAAAGTAATTTTCACAGACCTTTCGTGAGGCCAACTTTACTCCATTAAGGAAGTTCTGCATTGAACGAAACAAACGGTAGACAGATGATGCAAGGTCAGTTGTTGACGGTAAAATGTAGTATAGCCTGGTCGAACGAGGCTGGATCAGCTTATAGTGGATTATCTTTGCTAATCCCACCAAACACTCAACTCTTCGATATCTTTCAGATTTGTTGAGCTTCCTCGAAAACGCACGATGCCACACCTTGTGGTAGCATATGTTCAAAACCTGCATTGACCTTCTCACAACTGCGCTCTATGTTCTTGCATGACAGCACTTTCTTTTTCTTATGCTGCTTCTTCTTCCCCAATTTCGGAATACCAAATTTTTCTTCTTCTTAGTTTGCATTACTGTATTTTCCTTATCTTGCAACTTTCCTGCTTCTGCATTTGCATATTCCTTCACTGCCTACGCTTTCTTACCGCTAGCTTCGGTCAAGCGTCTGCGTCGCCTGCGCTGCAATTCGCTTGTGAGACGATTTACCGGCATACATGACCAATTATATACTTGAAAGTACATACATAAGCAATAAAGTATCTATACAAGCACAACTACACCTACACACACACAGACACACAAACATTACAATGTGTGGCAAGTGCCGCCGTTGGGCCACCCTTTTGCCTCATAGCGTAAGGATAATTAATGAAATTAATGCCTGAGTGTGAGTTGAAGTGCGCAAAATATTCGATAATGTTTGCATAAAATGTAAATTCTAAAATATGTGAGCATTAAGTAAGGCAGCGCTGGTGAGCGAGTGCCCCCGCTGGGTCGGTGTGGGTGATATGCGCAACATTTTGCAGCGGGCGTGCAATGTTCGAGGCGCTGGTACGGTTAAATGCACTGCTGCACACACACTTGCACCCACATGTGCAGTCAAATGTACAGTTAGCATTCGAAAGTTTTTGTGCGAAGGTGGTAAAGTTTGCAAAATATATTTGCATTCTGCATTTGTCGGGCTAAGCGCAGCACGGAGGCTGAGTGCGGCATGTGGCGGAGGAAAGTCAGGCAAGGATATCGTAATGAGACTATGGCGTGTACGATTGTGAGCGTATGTGTGTGTGTGTGCTTGGGTGCAAATGTAAGTGTTAGCATGCTTTTAGGGGCAAATAATGCGCAAATCAGGCTCAATTTGGGTGTGCTCGCCCGAACCAGGCGCTCCTTGCGCTATGCGCTGGCATGTATTTGCTGTGGACACATGCACGTATTACAGTTATAAATGCATGCATGGATACAAGAAATGAGGGCTTACATACTGACGTGAATAGTGCATTGGTGAAGTAGTTGCAGGAAATTCTTTGCGAAAGTCGCAAGATTTGTTGCATGCATTAAGGTGTGGCACAAAACATATATGAGCAGATACCAAGCGCCATAAGCGAAAGTCGAAGAGACCAAATAAAGATTATAAAGTAGTTAGAGTGTCGAAGACTACCAATAGCATAATTCTTGACTTAACACATACATATTTTCTTCCCTCTCCGCAGGCTTTCCAAAATGCTTTACTGACATGGCGGAGGGCTGTGAGGAAACAGAGAGCCAGCCAAGCAACCGTAAAGCCGATAACGCGCCGACCATGCTCGGCACTGTTCTGCCATGCGAAGCCACCATTACAGCCGCCTCACTCGGTGCTACCTCGAACGCCGGTGGCGGGATTGTTATTAAGCGCGAACCGACGACCAACTCCAGCGCCTACGTGGACGCTAGCGTACATCATTTGAGCAACAGCATTTCGGCCACAGTCAGCCTAACCAGCACCGGTACGCACAGCCTCGACGTCGGTACACCACCGCCGTCCACAACGCCAATAGTCACACATTTATTGGCTATCTCACCAAACGGCTGCCGACCGACAACACCAGCGCTACAACAACAGCAACAACGCACGCCGACACCCATAACGGGCATACGCGGCACAGGTGCAACTGCGTCAACAGCGGGAGCGGCCTGTTCCTCCTCATCGTCGTCGTCATCGTCCTCATCTTCCAATTCATCTATGACTTCATCCACTTCGTCCTCATCATCGACGGCCTCGTCTTCGACGACAGCGGCCGTCGCGCCCAACTCGAATGCCAACAAATCGCCTTGCAGCATAGCGGGTTCACCGTATTCCACATCGGCGGTCGCATCTTCGGTGCGCGGCGGTATCTCGCCAACATCGCCGCCGCTCTCCTCCGTGGCGCCCGGCACACCCATCGGTTTGGAGGCCAGCAACGGTAGCTGTGGGTCGACTGCTGCTAACGGTATTGTTGTGGCAGGTAGTGGGTTGACGGTAGCGCCAGCTGCTGCAACGCCCATGACGACTTCAGACACGCTGGCGAATGCCATGTCGCCGATTACAGCGGCGCAACACCAACGTACACCTTCGCCAAGCGCTGAGCCGACGTCGTTGCTGCCACATGTAGCACTGAACATCAAAACTGAATCGGTGAGTAAAAATTTTGATTATTGGTATTTAGCTGGGTACTCTTTTTAAGTGATGAGTGGCGCTGCTCTATCTTAAAAAATGCTACAACGCTGAGTGCGGAATGCTGCTTTTGAAGTAAAGGTCTACTTTGGTCATAATTAGCAAAAGGTAGCAGTTGCAGTTAACAGAGTTTGCTTAACATTTTCAGTTCCCAGTGCTTTTTTTTTTATTTATCGGCTTAAGCCTTCTTTGTATTGCATTATTATGACAGCTAAAGGGTTCGCCTGGGAATAAAATAAATTAAAGAAGGGAAAACTGTCATCCCTTTCACGTGTCTGAGCATCTTCTAACCTCCGCGTCGCACAATCACTTCAATTCACTGGAATTAACTTCTATACTCAGCCGCCTACTCAGCTTTGTGATCGCTTCCCCATCACCACGGCATGCTGCACGAATTCCGTTTGCCACAAACAACGCGGTGCAAACTGAAATTGGAGCCGCAAACAAGCTACCTTTTTTCGGCCCGTTAGACTACCTGTTTGGTGCCATGAATTTGTGTTTATTCTTCCAAAGTCATTTGGTGTTGCTTTGCTGCGCTGCTTGACTTTGACTTTGGCCTGATTTCGAGCTCCGAATGTCGTAGTGCGCGCATATCTAATATAAGCAAATATTTCGAGAAGGAATACCGGTGCGGCTCACCTCATTTGGAGCACAAATAAGCAACAAAACTGAACGTAGCAGTCTTAAGCCGACGCAAAAAAGCAGTCAAAAATGAGCTCTTCTCAGCGCTGAGTGAGCAAGAAAAGAAACAAAGTGCCGATAATTAGCGAGAAACGAGTTAGAACGAGTTCGATGCCGCAAATTTGTTGAAGCGCGCTTTTAAATATTTGACTTGGCACACTTTCCGGTGAAATCTTGTTAATTGCACTGTTAAGTTGGTGGAATAGACTAATGTGACCAGTGGCAAAAATTGCATGAAAGATGCGTTAGCTTCATTAGAAGATCATAATGTTTACTGTACCTTGTTTGAATATGCATTTGGAAGGAATATCGATGAAAGTGAAGCACACACTTTACCTTCCGTTCAAGTTTTTGAAATTCTATACCAAGCATATTTTTTGATTGATGTTACAAACCGGTTCTGGTACTACCCCTCTAATTAATATTATTGAATGTACTGAGCTTATGTTGAGATGGAATATTAAGCAAAGCTTTTTCGATCAATGTCGAAACGGGTTCTTGGTTTAGCTACCACCCGTTTTGAATTTTTATTAGTGGAACCACCAGCAGAAAGTGTGTACTTTGTTTATCAAGTCAACCTTTACAACACTGTGGTATATGCAAAATATGAAAATACTTTTCCCACTACCCAATTAATATAATTGCTGGTGTTTTTTTACGTTGAGACGCTCTTAAGTTCCATTGTGTGGAATGCTGCTGAGCTGAGAGTCCTTATGCTGATATAAATTTAGGCCGACTCAATTATCTCTACCCAATTAGATTTCAAAAAGTTTCAGTACCAAACTACGCGTTCAAAGTACAGTCTCTAGTACACCCTTCTTTTAGTTCCCTTTCTGTTATGCTTCGTTAAATTTTATTTAGCTCAGTATTCGTTCATTGGTGCATTTTCACACATACGAAAATACAAATTGCTTATGTTTGGTTTGCAATTGCAATTTTTTCCTCTGCTTCTTATTTCTCGACAATAGTTTTGTATTCGTTACACTTCTATGCGGCCACTGTGCCATGATCGTATGTCACTGTCAAACTCCCAACATGGCTTACTCATTAAGCGTTCAATAGCGTTGCTCGCTGGCACCTTTTCGTCCAAATAATTTCTGACATTGCATTAAGCATGCAGCTTTTTATACCCTGAACGGGGTATATTACCGTCCGCCCATCTGACCGTCTGTATATAAGCGAACTAGTCCCACAGTTTTTGAAATATCGATCTGGAATTTTGCACAGATTTTTACTACCAAAAAAGCTACTCATTTGTCGGAAGGGCCGATATCGGACCACTATAGCATATAGCTGCCATAGAAACTGAATGATCGGTATTAAATAATTGTATGGAAATTTTTTTATTTGAAGAGATATCGTCACGAAATTTGGTGTTAATAACAAGCACCAAAAAAGCGATGATATCTTCACAGAAATTGATCCAACTCAAGACCTCCTATGAAAAAAAAAATTCATTTGACGACGCATCTTCACGGAATTTGGCACAGCTTATTTTTTAAACCTTTGCAATAATCTCCGAAGAAATCGTTCAAATTGGCTAAATATAACACATAGCTGCCATACAAACTGTGCGATCGGAATCAGTTTGTGGTATGGAAACATTTATTTATTACATTATTTGAGAAAGTATCACCACGAAATTTAGCACCGATTGTTATCCAAGAATAAACAAAAATATCCGAAAAAATTTTTGATATCGGAACACTTTAACATATAGCTGCCGTACAAGCCGCCTGAAAAAATCAATTTCTTGTATAAAAAGTCCTGTTTTTATTTGTGAAGGGTATTCCAGCTTCGGTGTAACACTTTTTTTCGATTTTTGGCCTGCTGTTGCACCGCTGAATCGCTGATTTGTGCGAAAGTTATGTGCGCATGCGCGCGATCACTGCCGCCACCCACTCCGCGGCACCACGAAGCGCACATTATTATTTGGCTTACAGTGCTGTACACACACATACATATACATAGTTATACATTCATATAAAGCTGTTTGACCATTTGGCTTCGAGGACATGCGAATTTTATTTATTGCTGACAGTTACAGTTATTTGGTTATTTTGGCTTCAATTCTTACCAACACTCGCGCAGCTGTGTTGCTTGCTGTTTTTAGTGCTGTTCTCCTGCGGTTGGTGTCGCGCTCATTGGTTTCTTGGCCGTGTCGTGGTGCAGCAGTTGTTATTATTGGCGCTTGTTGTTATTTCTTAGCATTTTTTAATTGTTATTTCGCTTGGCGGTCGCAGGCTGAACTCAAAATTGGGACACTGCAAGATTTGTTGTTTTCATTGCCAATTGACGCTTGCCCCGTGCAACGGCGGTGGCTCGCGCTTTGGCTGCTAATTCGTCGCGCTTTGGCCCAGCAATCTCACACACGTGCAAATACATATATGTATATATACAAAGTTGCGAACGCGACTCCGAAGATGTGGAGGGTAATCCGTTTTTTATGGGTTTCGAAATGAGAATAAAAACTTTGTATAACACACGCTGTACCTTCAATATGTTCGTTATTGTTGTTGTTTTTTTTTTTATCGATTTGTATATTCCATGTAAAATAATTGAAATAATTTTCGCATTACAAGCTTTGGCTTTGTCCCTCAATTGATTTGTGGCTGTGCTCATTATTTTGGCATGTTGCACTCAAACACCAACGCCCGGTATGCGCCCAGCGTCGCAGCTGGTGACATGCAATTTATTTATTTATTTAATTAATCACTTGAGTTGGATAATTGCATTTATAATAATCTCGATTTAATACGAAATAGCTAAGTGCTTGAGCCCGGCATTGCCAAGATATTAAGGCTTTGCATTTACGCGCTTATATTACCGCTGTGTCCGTTGCATGGCAGTCGCTTATGCTTGCGAGCGCTTATGACGTGCTGTCCGCTTTGCCTTATTTGTTGCTGGCCTTCGCTTAATTATTTAATTAATCATGCAATTATCTGTAATTTTTGTTATGAAGCCATTTTAGTTGGTGATTATAAATCGGCTGTGTTCGCAGCGCAGCGCAGCGCTACTTTTCCCCATGCCCAAAGCGCCTTATATATTGCTCCGACCGCAATTTTCGCCACAAATGCAATAACAAAAACAAACAAGACTGCCGAGTAATTATTGCCGGCCAAGTAGAGAATGTATGTATATGTATATGTGTATTGTGAATTATTCAGGCGGCCACCACAAGTTATTGCATGAGATCGATATTGGTATTGTTTTTGTTTGAAAGTAAAGAGTTTCGAGTGCCTACTTGTCTGCATTGAATACGAAATTATAACAGTGGATATGATCCATGAACGGACATTGCAAGTATGTTTAGAATACAACCGAGTCATTGTAAATTGGACTTAAAATAAATGGATTCATAAATCTCATGAGGTGTTAAGGCGTCACATGGGTTTCCTCGGATATAAAACAGCCTTTTTTCAACAATTTTTCTCTCATATAAAAAAATAAATATTTTGTTCCAATTTTTCATTGTTACAAATATACACTATTACCAAAAAAGTTTTGAAATTTAAAAAAAAAAAAATATTTCAAGCTCAGCCAATAAGACGCTATTTCACGTAACCTGTCGGAAAAAGATACGTCCGCTTTGGCAGGCTAGCTTCTTACAGGTTCATCTCAAGTCAAAAAATACCTATTTTAGTTAAAACCTAACCTTCGGATAATCTTGCGAATCGACTTCAAAAACTCAGTTTCGAAGAAAACGCGTTTAAAGACGGCGCACTTAGCCTAGCTAGCCTCGAGCGCACATGTTATGAAGGCTGTATCTCCGAAACTACTGCTCGGATCAACTTGAAAATGTATGACAATAATCTAGAGATATTGTAGAATGTAATAAGATGATAAAAAAAATCGATTTTTTGAAACCCGAAACTCAAATATAACTCACCAAACTCAAAACAAATAGTAGTTCGTGAAAAAACAAGCTAAAACGGTTCAGTTGCCACATGACTAAAAAGGCTACAACTTCGAAACTAATTTGAATTTTGAAAAATTCTTTTAGGCAGATATTTCTGAATAACTAAACTATCGAACTCTGCCAAAAAAAAAAAAAAACAAACAAAAAAAAAAATCAGATTTTTTCGAATTTCTGGACTAGAATACCCCCTTAAGGTTGTATTTGGTTACGGTAGAAAAAAAAAAGTTATTTATATTAGTATATTCGAGTCTTTGAATGCCTAACTGAAGATCGTATCTGCCATTTTAACTTATGTATTATATTTTTTGCTAGATTCACACAAGCTTCTCTTCAGCAGCCAGATTTCTAGACAACTTTTTTA